CACAATTAGACTGCTGCTCCTTTCCCCCACCCCCAGAGTCGCTGAGTCAGTGGGGGAGGAGGGGGCGGAGCCAGAATTTGCATGACATTTCCCAGAGGTTTCCAGCTGTTGGGGATGGTGCCCATCTGGGAACCACACTTTGAGAACCACTGCATTAAAGAATGAAAAATGGCAGTGTTCCATTCTCTCCCTCCCTCTATACTTGTAAAAAGGCAACTCCCCTTTGGTTACCCGTCGAATGATGTGCTTAGAAAAGCCTCTCTCCCTTCTTGCAGGCTTCGAGCATAAGATCACGGTCCAGGCCTCTCCAACTCTGGACAAGCGGAAAGGATCCGATGGGGCCAGCCCCCCCGCAAGCCCCAGCATCATCCCCCGGCTGAGGGCCATCCGCTGTGAGTATCTCCCAAGGCCCCGACCAGTCGGTCAGTCAGTCAGTCAACAAACATCATTGAGCATACACCTGGCACCAAGCTAGAGGAACAGGGAGCAAGACAGACGAGGCCCCTTTCCTCATTCTCATGAGGTGGGTGTGGGGGGAGGCGGAAAACAGGCCGGAAACAAGGAAGCGAGTCAGTGAGCAGGATTGTTTCCAGTTGTGGTAAGTGCTGTACGGGAACTCAGGGAAGGGAATAAAAGAGAAGGTATATGTAGGATTCCCCAGAGAAACCGAATCAGTAGAAAGAGATTTATCATGAGGGATGGGTTCATGTGATTGTGGAGGCTGGAAGTCCCACCGTTTGCCGCCTGCAAGCTGGAGGCTCAGGAAATCTGGTGATGTGGTTCCAGTCCAAGTCCAAAGGCCTGAGAAGCAGGAGCACTGAGGTCCGGTTTCAGGAGAAGATGGATCCCCGAGCTCATGCAGCAAATTCTCCCTTCATCTGCCTTTTTGTTCTATTGGGGCCCTTAACGGATTGGACGAGGCCTGCCCACACTGGCGAGGGCCAGTCCGCTACTCCCTCTGCCCATTCAAATGCTAATCTCTTCCAGAAACACCAGCTATCTAGGCCTCTCTTAGCCCAGTCAAGTTGACGCATAAAAATAACTGTCACAGAAGCGTTACTGTTTACATCGGGAAAGCCTGTGTGAGGAGGTGAGGTTTGAGCAGGGACCTTCATGGTAAGGAGTGAGACATGCCAAGACCCGAGGGAAGCATGACCCTGGCAGAGGGGACAGAAAGGCAAGAGCCTGGAGGTGGCACAAGCGTGGCGTGCTAATTAGTAGCCCGCTTAGCTGGCTTGAGCGAATGGAGGGGGAGCGCAGGTTTTGTGGTGAAGGGGTCCACAGGGGGAGATCACGCAGGGCCTTGAGACCAGGGTAAGGAATCCAGATTTTCTTTTCAACGCGGCAGGGGAGCCCCTAGAGGGCGATGAGCAGGGCAGATCTCATCGACCTTTTCCCGCTGGCAACTGATGAGACGGTGGGGGCCGGACCAGGGGACTCAGAAGGGAGACGTGGCCACAGCCAGAGCTACATGGCAGAGGCACAGTCCTCGGAGTTTGCAAAGCTGACTCCTGGGTCTGTCCCACTCCATCGCTGACCCCAGCCCTCCCCCTACGCACAGCCCCCTACACGCCTCTGCTTGGCCACCTGCTTTAGACCTGGCCAGGGGGTCGGTCCAGCAGGGTAGCCAGTACTATCACTAGTTCTAGGTACCTCTGAAGTGTGGCAGGCACAGGGAAGAGCAGCTGCCGCTCCAGGGATCTAACGACCCAGAGCTGGAGGCTGAGGGCACGAAGCCACCCAGAATGCACGGCAAAGGCTTAGGCCGCGAGGGGCAGATGAGGCCAAGGACGTTGGCAGGGAATAGCTCATGAAGGGCCTCAAATGCCAGGCTGCGGAGCGGGGACTTTGCCCTGACAGCAGTGGGGAGCTATGGGAGGACTTATAGCAGGGAAGGTCATGAATGGAGTTAGAAAGATCCCCTGGACGCCTAGGCAGAAGGGGGGATCTGAGGTGGGGACAGACTCTCCACGACCCAGTAACCAGGTGGCTTCCCTGGACCCAGTGACTCCCGTGGACTGTGGCGGCAGTGGCAGCAGTGGCAGCAGCAGCGGTGGCAGTGGGACTTGGGGGCGCAGTGCACCCCCGAAGAAGGAAGAGCTGGTCGGGGGCAAGAAGAAAGGCCGGACGTGGGGGCCCAGCTCCACCCTGAACAAGGAGCGGGCTGGAGGCGAGGAGAGGTGAGGTGCTGGTGCGGCGCCGGCCCGCGCCCCGTGCCCTGCCCCAGACCAATCTCTTGGAACCCCCAGCAGGCTGAAGACCCTCGGGGAAGGAAGCAAACAATGGTCCTCAAGCGCCCCCAACCTGGGCAAGTCCCCCAAACACACACCCATGGCCCCTGGCTTTGCCAGCCTCAATGAGATGGGTAAGAGGGCAAGGGTGCTTGGGAGGAGGGGGAGGGCACAGTCCCTGGCCAAGCGGGGCTTAAGCCAGGGCCACGGGCTGAGCGGTTCCCAGGGCTGGGCGGGGACAGGATTCGCTGGGCCAGTGGGTAGGAGGCATTCCTGGAAGGGAGCGCAGCACGTCCCCGGGGCGTGGGGGTCATTCCCACCGGCAAGGAGCATCCTTCCCTCCGCCTACTGGGGGAGAAAAACTTGAGAACGATGCTTGGTGGGACATGGTGGTCTTGCCGTTGGAGGGGTCACCGGGGCTGCCCCTTGCCGCCAAGTACTCGCGGGCCCAGGGGCCAGCCCCGCACTGGAGTGACGCCCCTCTCCGGTTGCAGAGGAGTTCGCGGAGGCGGACGGAGGCAACAGCATGCCCCCCTCCCCCTACACGACCGCGTCCTACCTCACGGTGCCGCTGCCCACCGAGCCCTCCCCGGGGGCGCGGGCGCCCTGGGAGCCGGCGCCAGCCGCGCCCCCCGCCCGGCCGGGACACAGCGCCCGGCGGCGCTGCGACCTCGCGCTGCTGGGCTGCGCCACGCTGCTGGGCGCCGTGGGCCTGGGCGCCGACGTGGCCGAGGCGCGCGCGGCGGACAGCGAGGAGCAGCGGCGCTGGCTCGACGGCTTCTTCTTCCCCCGGGCCGGCCGCTTCCCGCGGGGCCCGAGCCCGCCGGCGCGCAACCCCGGCCGCCGCGACGACGCGGCCCCCGGCCCGGGCCTGGCGCCCTCGGCCACCCTCGTGTCGCTGTCGTCCGTGTCGGACTGCAACTCCACGCGTTCCCTGCTGCGCTCCGACAGCGACGAGGCCGCGCCGGCCGCGCCCTCCCCACCGCCCTCCCCGCCCCTGCCCGCGCCCGCGCCCGAGCCCGCGCCCTCGCCCAGCGCCAACCCCCTGGTGGACCTGGAGCTGGAGAGCTTCAAGAAGGACCCCCGCCAGTCGCTCACGCCCACCCACGTCACCGCCGCCCGCTCAGTGAGCCGCGGGCACCGGCGGACGCCGTCGGATGGGGCGCTGGGGCAGCGGGGACCGCCCGAGCCCACGGGCCACGGGTCTGGTGAGTGAAGCGCCCTGACCCCACCCAAGTCGCAGAACCAGCCCTTCCTCCGTGTCCCCGCCACGGTCCAGCGTCCGAGCCCGGCCGCTCCCTGAGGCGGCAGCCTGGGGCGGGCGTAGTCTGGAGGAGGGAAGGTCGTATCCCCTCCCGGCTGGAAGCATCGCGGGCCCCCAGGTGATGAGACACAGGGCGAGCAAGGGTGGCAGACAGGCCTACAAGGGCCAGGCAGGTGGCTTTAATAATGACATGGCTAACTCTTACGCAGCGTGCGCCCTGGGCACTGTTCCCTGTGCATTTACCAACAGCGACAGGGTGACCGCAATGGCGGGAGATGCTAAGTACCCCCCGTCCACCGCTGCGCTGCTTGTTTTACGACTGTTACTGCGTTTAATCCTCACCTGTGTAGAAACGTGCTGTTTCTATCCCCGTTCAGAGATAACAGCATGCCGGTGGTCTCGCTTAGCTCTGTCCAGGTGACCCGGCGCAGTGTAGGCGAGTCAGCCCCTCGGCTTCCGCTAGAGGGGCTGCCAAGAAACTGGCTCCGAAGCCCAAAGTCTATGCCCAGAGCACACTCAGATGAGTGAGCAGGTGGGAGCGGTGGGGACCTTAGCCAAGGCCCGGGCACTGCCGCGCTGCCGGTGGCTGTCGCCTCGCTGGCAAGTGGGCCCTGCAAGATCTGTGGGTTTCTCAAGGGAAATTTGAAATTCCACCGTAAAATCTCCTGGGTTTTAAGTGCCACCCTGGGCCCCACCCCACTCGCCTCATCTGAACCTCTTTTACCAGGCCCTCGAGACCCCCTGGACTTCCCCCGCCTGCCCGACCCCCAGGCCTTGTTCCCAGCCCGCCGCCGGCCCCCCAACTTCCCAGGTCGTCCCACCACCCTGACCTTTGCCCCGAGACCCCGGCCGGCTGCCAGTCGCCCCCGCCTGGACCCCTGGAAACTGGTCTCGTTCGGCCGGACGCTCAGCATCTCGCCTCCCAGCGGGCCGGACACTCCCGAGAGCCCTGGGCCCCACGGCACGCAGCCCACGCTGCTCGACATGGACATGGAGGGGCAGAGCCAGGACAGCACCGTGCCCCTGTGTGGGGTCCACGGCCCCCACTGAGGCCTGCCCACCACCGCCCGCCTGGGCAGCCATGAATGTAGCGCCCCAGGCCCCGCCCCAGCCCGCCGTGCCGCAAGGTGGGGGAGGCCCTGGGCAGGATACTCAATGCTATTTATTGGGGAAGGGGGGTGGGGGGACACTTAATTTATTCCTTTGTACCCCAGGGGGTGGAGCCCTGTGCCCGCCCTGCACTGGGGGAAGGGTGGGCAGGGATACTCAGGGACAGGGCATCGTGGGGGGTTTGGCACAAAATGCATTAAAGGTAACTCCTGCCCCCTACTCAATGTGGTCGTGTGTCTTCCCTGACCCGGGCCCTCATGCTGGATCATCCCCAGGGGGACACTCCCCACCCCACACACCCTCCCTGGGCCTCCCTGGGTTTCTGAGGCCCAAGGAATGAGGCCCGGGCCCATGTCCCCTCCCTGGTCCCCACAAGAACACCACACAAAGAGGTCATGGTCACCAGTGACAAGTGTTTTACCAGCGAACACATGAGTCAGGGGAAGTCACATGTGAGATGGGAGGGAGTGGGGGTAGAGACCGTCCCCCAGGGCTGGCCTCAGCCAACCACATCCCGGGCTCCGGCCCCGGCCCCGGCCCCGGCCCCACTGTCTTCTCGCTGGAGGCTGCAACGGTTCATCTTCAGCTGAGTCAGCTGGATGTAGCGGAGGACATTGGTGTCTGCAGGGGAGGTGGGCAGGGCATTATCTGGGTGTCCTGGGGCAGCAGGTGACATCTGCACCACCTCAGCTCACACCCCATTCTCCCCAGTCGCCAGTGGGTGCCCCTCACAGCCAGTATTGTCGCAGCCCTTCCCCACAAGGCCGGCCACAACCAGCAGGGCACAGACAGCGCACCCCTCCGTGCTTCTGTATTTGCTATGCCCACTGCCAGGAATGCCCCTTCACAGAGGCTGCTGTCACACTTCTACTCATTCTCCAGTGTCATCTGTGAGATGTCTGTTCTCCAGACCACTTACCGGGAAAGCTAATCTTGCCCCCTTGCTCCCACAGCCCTGCGCCATGCACCTGTTGTGATCCCTCTTCCGTCCTCATTAGTTCTTTTTCTTTCTTTTGTTTTTTGTTTGAGATAGTCTCACTCTGTCCTCCTGGCTAGAGTGCAGTGGCATCATTATAGCTCACTGCAGCCTCAAATTTTTGGGCTCAAGCAATCCTCCTGCCTCAGCCTCCTGAGAAGCTGGGACTACAGACGCCACCATGCCCTGCTAATCTTTTCTATTTTAGTAGAGATGGGGTCTCACTCTTGCTCAGGCTGGTCTCAAACTCCTGACCTCCAGCATCCTCCCGCCTCGGCCTCCCAGAGTGCTAGGATTACAGGCGTGAGCCACCGCGCCCGGCCCTCATTAGCTCTTAACTCAAAACTGGTGTGTCTGCCTGCCTGCATGCACACACATGCACACGCCCTGCCTGTGATCTCCCAAAGGACAAGGAACAGTCAGTCTCCAGCTCTGCTAACCACACGCCCCCCAAATTTCTGACATTGCCCAACCTGGGCGGATGAGTGGGTGACGGAAGAGGTGAATGAATCAGCGAGTGTGTGAATGGGCTGGATAGTGAGTGGAGGGATGTGTATTGGGGGCGGGGTAATGGAGATGACAGTGGGTGAGGGCGTAGGGAGGTGGCTGAGCAGGTGAATGGGAGGTGTCAGGATGGATCGATTGCAGCAGAGGAGAAGCGGGTGCGTAAACGTCAGAGGACCGGCGGATGAATGGATGTTTCAATGGCCGGCGAAGGGGTGGCTGAATGAATGGTGGGTGAGTGGACGAATGGGTGTGTAAGGAGTAGGTGGCTGGAGAGGGGGAACGTCGGTGAATGTACAGCCCTCCCTCCAGGCAGCTCTGCCAGAAGAGAACTCTGCTGCCCTGCTCTGCTCTTCCTGGCCTTGTTTCCTCCGCTCTAGCCCCTTCCCCAACCCGCCCCGCCCCGCCCCGCCCCTCACCTGTGGGCTCCCGGCTGCGGGCCTCCTGCAGGTAGCGCAGCGCGCGCGCGTAGTCGCCCAGATGGTAGAAGGCAATGCCAGCACGGTAGGTGGCCTTGAAGTTGCCCTGCTGCTTCTCCAGCACCTTGAGGCAGTACTCGCGCACGCGTTCGTAGTTCACCAGCTCCGACTGCAGCAGGCAAGCTACGCGGGCGCCGGGGGCGGACACTCTCAGAGCCAGCCGGCCCTCCCAGAACCCACCTGGCCTGGAGGCGCCTGGCCTCCGGGCTGCCGGGAACCGGGCCTGAACGATTGCTCAGGCCACCAGGGGGCGCCAATCTGGTGGCCCATCAAAGTAGAGCCAATCTGCTCCGCCGCTAGAGGGCGCAAAAGGCACAGACGCGAGCTCTGGGGCGATTAGCCCGGTTGCGTAGACAAGAGTGCTAAGGGCGCTGGCAGAGGCGAGGGACGGGGCCTTGAGTGGCTCCTTTAGGGCGGATCTTTCTCACCTTAGGTTCGCGTGTGGCAGGGGGTGGAAAGAATGACTCAGGGGGAATGGGGCCCTGAAGACCCAGCCCAAAGCCCATTTCCTGCCTCCCAGCTCCCTCCAGCCGGAGACCCTTGTGACTCCCCTACCCCCAACCCCTTCCTGATCAAGTCGTGAGGTCTCCCTCAGCGGACCACAGCCCTGGACCCTTCAGCCTCCAGAGTCCCCACGCCTCCGAGTCCCCGCGAGCTCGTCGTTGCCCCTCACCGCCCGCCTCTCCCGCACGCCCCTCTGCGCACCCCCCGACGGCAGCGTACCCGTGAGGGAGTCGTAGCATTCCACCTCCGTGCTCTCCACCAGGCGCCGCTGCTCCTCGCTGAGGCGCGCCGGCCCCGGACTGCTGGTGGGCCCGGGGGCGGGGGCGGGGGCGGGCAGGCCGCCAGGGCGGGCCCCCTGCGCCGCCTTCAGCTGCAGCAGCGCCCGATGGTACTTGCCGATGGCTTCCCGGAACTTCTTCTCCCGGTAGCAGCGCTGGCCCTCCGCCTTGAACGCCACGGCAGCCCGCAGGCTGCTGTCGAGCGCCGCGGCCAGGCCCCCCGACGGCTCTGGAGCGGGACCCGGACGAGCTGAGCCATGGCGGGGACTCGGGCCCGGGCCCGGCGGGGAGAGGGCGGGAGGCGGGCGCGGCGGAGGCTCCGGGGCAGCAGCGCTGAGCATTAGCACCGGGGACAGCGCACCGCGCTGCATTGTGGGAAACTCCTGCCGCCGCCGCTGCAGCTACTGCATCGCCCCCCGCGGGGCCGGTCCCCACCCTTTCTCCGCCCCCGCACCTCCGGCAGACGACTCCGGCTGCCCCCTATGGGTCTAGAGAAACCCCTCAAGACTTTCCCCGCGCTCACCTTCAAATTAGCCCAGGTCCTCGTTCTCTCCTTCCCGTTCCGTTCACCCTCGCCTCCCTCCTGCCTGCTCTCTTCCCCCAAGCCCAAAGCTCCCAAAGATTTCTAGAAGGAAAGGACGAGCCTGGGGGGAAAAAAAGCAGGAAGATGCCAACCTCGCAGAAAGTTGGCTTTCAGCCCCCTAGCCATTTGGCATGTTGGGTAAGAACACAGGATCTTAGACTCAAGCTGCCCAAATTTAAATCCTTGCTTATTTTCTCACTAGTTGTATGACTTGACCAGCTCACTTGTAGCACCAGAAACTCTGTCTCCTCATCAGTAACGTGGAACAATAATATCAACTTTGGGATTCATTTGTTTATTTATGCAATAAATATTCTCTATCTTTTCTGTGTCCAGCTGTGTGCTGGGTGAGGCTGGGACATCAGCTTGGTGACGAGAGACCTTCAAATCCTACGCTCACTGGGCCCCCAGTCCAGACAGTGACACAGCCCTGAGTGGGCTAGCCTGGGAAGCTCAGGCAGGAGGGTCAGGACTGGGATGGGCCAGGGACGTGCAAAGGGGTCGGCCAGGATGAAGGGGCACGATACGCTGCGAGGGCCCAGAGAAGGCGCCTGTCCTGGGCTGAAGTGGTGAGTGAAGGCTTCCTGGAGCAAATAACTCTGTCAACAAGAGAGATCTGCTTCTTGCCCTCACCCAGCTCACCGTCTACGGGGAAAACCATCAAGAAGGCAGACAGGTTCCCAGTCCGTGACAGTCCAAGGCAAGCAGCACAATAATAAAAGTGTTCGAGAGAGGAAGCATGGGGGAGGCTTTCCAGAGAAAAACAGGGCGAATGAGGTGATTGCCTTTCAATCCTCGTTAGCCGCCTACATAGCTATGGGACCTTGGCCAATTCCTCGATCTTCCTCCTCTTTAACTTCCTCTGTGTGGCATGAGGATAACAGGCCCGTTCAGCTAAGAGTGGTAGGGGACCGAATTATATTATGCAGGTAAAGCGCTTAGCACAGGGCCTCTACAGTAATGGAAAATTAATGACTGGTGTTTCTTATCCTCCATTAGACTCTGCGTTATGTGATCATAAATGCCTGGCCCTGAGTCAGCATGCATAAATAGTCATTGAATAAATTAGTGAATAGCTTTATTATGTATGACCATTCCTCCCCCCTTCCCCAAGACCCTAGCTTGGGTCCTGGCCCCAAGCACCTGTATCTCCACCCCCTCTGCACATCCTGCCCCCAGAGATCCCATGGCAGCTCCCATTCAACAGGCTGAATGGAGCCGGAACTCAGAACTTTCCAACCCATCGGCAGCATCTGCCTCTGTCTCTTATTGTACTTTGCTGTAAAATGTTTTTGCTGAATGAGTTTCTCCCCAATCCCTGGGCTCCAACCTTGGGATGTTCGAGGTTTCCAACCTTGAACAACCTCAGGGGTGGAAACGTCTTCCTCTCTGTGCCTCCAAACCCAGGCTCAGTTAGGAGTCTAAATTTCCTGAGCTTGAATTCTTGAGCAGTGTACGCACCTTTCTCCACCTCAGATGTGTTTTCAATTAAAAATACCAAGATCCTTTGATTCATAACAAATGTTTTCTGACCAAGTAAATGGCTAGGTACTTGGGCACAGTAGCAGAGGACAATGGTACCTAATTCACAGTCCTGCTAGGATGCTGTTTCACAACATCTATAGGTGTCAGGCATTGTCCTAAAGTTTTATGTATATGTTAACTCACATCCTCACCACACCGCCATGAGCTCAGTGCTATTATTATCTACTAATTATCCCACTTGACACCGGGGCACTAAAGAGGTTATGTGGGCTGGGCGTGATGGCTCACGCCTGTAATCCTAGCTCTCTGGGAGGCCGAGGCGGGAGGATCGTTTGAGCTCAGGAGTTCAAAACCAGCCTGAGCAAGAGCGAGACCCTGTCTCTACTGAAAAAATAGAAAGAAATTAGCTGGACAACTAAAAATATATAGAAAAAAAATTAGCTGGGCATGGTGGTGCATGCCTGTAGTCCCAGCTACCCAGGAGGCTGAGGCAGGAGGATCGCTTGAGCCCAGGAGTTTGAGGTTGCTGTGAGCTAGGCTGACACCACGGCACTCTAGCCTGAGCAACAGAGTGAGATTCTGTGTCAAAAAAAAAAAAAAGAGGTTATGTAAATCAGATCCCATTGACCGAGCTCTTATTATCAAGGACTTGCACTATTACAAACTGATCATCGTCACAGGCCTTGGACTTGTACGACCATAAATTGGATTAGTTGACGACATAAACACAGAGGTGTTTACGGAACTGCAGGTTTCCAGCTTTACTTGAATAAAATCCGAAAGTCAGTCGACCATCGAGGTAGCATTCCTCACGAGTGGAGCGGGCGTTCTCAGTTCCCCACAATTCTCCCCAGCCACGAGGGGATCCCAGTTTAACGCCGCTGAGTGGTGCTTGGGAAAGTCCGCCGGTGCCCCCTAGTGGAGGAGTTTAGAATTTGCATCTCATCTCCCAGCAACCATTTAGGGACATGGTGAAAATATCCAATCAGAGGGATGAGAGACCTGGGAAACGACCAATGGAAAGCGAGAGGGGGCCAGAATGCGACCAATAAGGACCGAGAGCGCTCAGAATAAAAAAAAAACTCTTTTATTGAGATGAGAGACGGACAGATACTGAGGGCGGTTTTGTGGTGTTTGTTTGGCTGAGTCTCGGCCCTCACGGAGGCCCAGGCCGGGGGCGGCGGAGCAGGCGGGCGGCGGCGAGGCTGGCGCGCTGGCGCGGGGGCCGCGCGTACTTGAGGAAGACGGCGGCGCGGCCGGGCGCGGGGCCTCGGAGCGCGGCGCGGGCCATGCACGGCTCGAGGGGGCTCAGCTCCTCGGGGCTGCAGCGGGGAGACGGGGAAACTGAGGCAAGCGGGTGAAGATGACCTATCCTCGAAACAGGAAACTCAAGTCTGCATGGACACATCGCTGTAGGTCCCTGGGGGCTGCCCAGGTGCCCTCTGGAGGTCGAACACGCGTCCCATCCTCAACTGGAGTGAATGGGGACCCCGAGGAGGGGCAGACACCCCATTCTCCCCGCAGAGCTCGGCTAGAGCGGAGCCAGCACCCGAGAGGAAGGAAGGAGTGGGGCTGAGGATGGGCGGACATCCGCTCTACCCGGGGGGCACAGGCTGGGAGGAAAACTGACTCACCCTGCCACCCTGGGGCATGGCTAACGACTCTAGCGGCTAAAGGGCCACCGCATCTGCGACCAGACACAGAGCGGGCGGACTCAAGGCCTGGGAGACCCTTCATTCTCAAGCCTGGAAGGCAGAGTACTTCCGCCCCGAGGCAGGGTTAAGGGTCCCCAAGCCTGGGAAAAGCACCCCATCCTCTCAAACACCCCCAGAAAAAAGTGGGATCCTCCAGGCTAGGCAGACACCCCATTCTCTCCCACCCCCAGAAAAGTCAAGTCTAAGTGCCGCCTCCTCCCCAGGTAACTGTCTCTCATTCTCTGAGATGGTGGAGATGGTGACCGGAAAGGGAGGGCCCTGGAGACCCGATCGCAGGCGCTCCGCCCAAGCCACACCTGTAAAACGCCGACAGGGGCCTGGAGCCCGCGCCGTAAAGCGCACGTTGCGCCAGGCTCAGAGCCGCAGCTGCGCGACGACCCGGCTCCCATCCCGCAGCCTCGGCTTCCAGCAAGGACAGCTCCAGGAAGTAGGCGGCAAGTAACATCACCTGCCAATGAGGCGTGGTGAACGCCAGGCCACGCCCCCGCCGCGCGCCGGCCACGCCCCACCCACACGCACCTGGGGGCCGCTCCGCGCCAGCGCAGCCAGCAGCCGCAGGCACAGCAGGGGGCCGGGGTGGTGCAGCCGGAAGTCCAAGCGGCTCAGGATGCGGCGCTCGGCGCGCAGCAGCTCAGCCCGAGAAAAGGAGCCGGCGCTCAGGAGGCAGAGAGAGGAGGGCTGCAGATCAGGGGTGGAGGGGGCGCTGAAGGAGCCTCGGATCCTGCCTTTTACTCCCTGCCCTGGAACGCCTGACCTCAGTTCCCTGGTCTGTAAAATGGGGCCATTTACTTGTGTCTGGAGGGCGTGGAGAGCACGGGCTTCAGAGTCAGAAAGACCCGAGTTCCAGTTCAGACTCCACCATTTACTCACTGCGTGACATGGGACATTCACCGACGCTCTCTGCCTCAGTTTCCCCCTCCGTAAAACCGAGATACTACTCCCTTCACCAAGCAGTTGTTAAAGACACCGAGTTCATGCACATTAACAACTATAACTCCTCGAGATGGACTATAACTATTCAAGACTGCGTCCAAGTCCCAACTGCTTGATTCGGGGCAAATGTCTTCCTCTCTGGGCCTCAGTCCCCTCCTTTGTTAAAGGGACACATGAGCAGCCCCTCCCTCACTCAAATAGGTCGGGATTCCAAAAGTAAGTAAAGCGCTTGGCGCCGTGCACAGCACGCAACAGGCATTTAATCAGTGCCGGTGGAAAGGCCTCCGCCCTCCCAAATCCCACCCCAGAAGTACCTCGGGAAGCACGCACTCCTCCATTTTGCACGCGAGAAACAGGCAAGCGACACCCAGCAGCTGCAGACGATGGAGGCGCACCCGGCCCGCCCTTAGGTAGGAATCGAGTAGGTGCACTGCCAGATAGAGCGTGTCCCCCGCCAGGCCCAGGTACTCCTGGGGAAGGGCACGGGTGACCAGCAGGGCCAGCGATGGGGGGGCCAGCCCCGCCCCCAGGTTCCCCGGTACCTACATGCACCTGGACCAGCCAGTCGACCACTAGTGCGCGCATCTCCGGGGTCACAGTGCGGGGCAGGGCTCGCTGGGGCAGTGCGCGGCACACCTGGGGGTGGGCAGGGATGGCCTCACTCTCCACACCTGTGCCTCGGGGTGCAGCAGCCTTCCCCCTGGCGTCGCAGGTGCCACAGCCAAACTGGCCTCCGAATGTGCTCTTCTTCCACGTCTCCGTCTAGAACTCTGGCCTTTGCTCTGGACACCTCCCTCCCCACCTCTCCAGTCTGTAGCCCTGTGGTCACTCGGCCTCCTGGGCATCTCCCGCCTGGGTTCCCAGACTCCACTCTTGGCCACCAACTCTCAACCCATTCCCCTCAGAGCACCTAGAAAGGTCTTTCCAAAAAAAAAAAAAAGATCTGACCAAGAAACTCCCGGGCTTAACCCTCCTGCCCCGCCATGGCTCCCAGTAGCCTTAGGAGAAAATCCTCATTCCTCTCAGACTCTCAGGGCCCGCACCTGCTCCGAGACCTCCCCTTCCCTCTCCCATCACCATCCGCCCTCTGGCCACGTCAGCCTTCTTCTGGCTCCTAGACTGTGCCAAGCCCAAGCCTGCCCCAGGCCCTTTGTACTTACTGTCCCCTCTACCTGAATCGGTCCTTCCCCAGCTCCTCCCATTGCTTTCTCTGTCACTCAAGCCTCGGCTACAACTTCCCTGACTTTCCTGTCTTCCTTCCTCCACCCCATCCCTCTCTCTCATTCCTGCATTTCCCTCACGGCCCTTCCACTCTGAAGATGCCTGGTGTTTCCTGGGGCATTTTGTCTGTGCGGCCTCTGGGCTGCAAGCACCAGAAGGGCGGGAACTTCCGCCCAGACCACAGGTGTATCTCGGTTCCCAACAGAGACCCTGGCCCAGGAGAGACACTCGCAAGATGTTCTGTTAAACTCTTCCCTTCCGTGTTTCCCCCGGCAGAACCTGTCTCATGCAGATGTCTGAGGACTACCGTGGCCTGCGTTTGGGTCTTTTGTGGCCCTTCTGTAATTACGGCATAACTCGCTTGTCTGTCTCCGCAGAACGAGGACAGCAGCACCTCCGGTGCCTGGAGCGTGCTCAGAAACATTTAACAAATCGCGGCATATTTGTTAAGCGAATAAAGGTGAAGGACGAGTACGAGGGACTGCGAAACACCAGAGGAGGGTGCAAACAACCTGGGGCCGGTGGGGAAGGGCATTCCGAGCGCTGGGAACTGCATGGGTAACTGCGTGAGAAACAAGCCCCCCAAAAGCGTAGAAGTGGGGCGGGGGGTGGGGGCGCAGGACGTCCAGTGAGGAGAGGGGAGACGACGCTGGCGAGCTAGGGGTCGGGAGACGCTCAACAATGGGTGCTGGGCGAGTGAGCCACCTTTGGCCTCCTGAGGCTCGAACCCCGGCTGCCCTCCCGGCGTGGGGGCAGCGGGCCCGCTCACCATGACTTCGGCGAAGATGTCCCCAGCGTACTCGCGTTCTCCCTCCAGCCCCAGCGCGCTCAGCGCCTCCTCCAGCCCTGGCGGTGCGCACGACCCCGGGGGCCTCCTCGGGCGCCTCGGAGAGACACTCGTGGCCGCAGGGGCGCCGTCGGGGACCGGGGCGCTCGGAGGCTCCGCACCAGGAGAAGCAGCGGGACTCTGCAAGGGAGAGGGCCTGGGGGGTCAGCGCCTGGAGAGAGGCCCAGCCGAGAGGTGTGCCCCTGGTTCCCGCCTCTCACCAGCATCCTCCAGGCCGGCGTCGCCCGCAAAGCCAAGCACCAACCACTTCCAGCTGGAGAAAGGCACCTGCGGGGGTTGCTTTAAACGCGCCCGGGCGCACGCGCACTAAGCTCGCCTCGCATGGGCCGGAGCAGAAGCAAAGACCAATGTTAAGCAGGCTGACTCCGTCCTCTCCAAACCCCCAAAGGTCGGGCAGCTGGAGTCAGATCCTCATTCTGCTGCCCAGGAGTAGTCCCTCTGAGCCTCACTTTCCTCAACCATAAAATGGGAATTATTTCAAAATTTAGCCAACAGGGCTGTCCTGAGGATTTTAGAAGCTTCTGTTCAAGTGTCCAGCACAGGGCCTGATACAGTAAAAGCTCAAGACATGGCGGTTGTAAGTTATTTAACAAATATTTAAGGAAGGCCTCTGCTCTGTACGCTGGTATTTGGGGGTGAGCAAATCACCTGTGGTGCCTGCCTTTACCAAGCCCACCTTCTAGCGCTGAGCTGGGGACCGGACAAGTCATCAGCCATCGGTTGGGACCAGTGCAGCTGCCGCCTGAGCGCTCTCCCTCTTTCCCTCCCCTACAGTTTGTCACCACATGAAGCCACAGGACTCCTGTGCACACCCAAGTCCCATCACACCCTGCTTCTGCGGAGAAGTCCATCGTGGCTACCACCTCCCTCCAGCCAAAGGCCCATGACACCCTGTGTATCTGCCCCCACCGTTCCCTCCCCCACACACTTCCGAGGTTATCTACCCATCCCCTCGCTCAATCCTTGCTCAGCCGTACACACCAGGCACACTCCTACCTGAAATGCTCTTCCCTCAGAGGTCACATTTCCCCACCAAGTCTCCTTTTTTTGGTTAGAGATGCAGCATACGTTTGATAAAGTATGTGTCTTCTTCCAAGAGCAGGGCTGTGTTCGGCCCATCTTGTCTGTGGCTGTGACTTCAGCATCCACAACAGTGCCCACAGTGCTCATAGTGGGTGCTCAGTACTTTTGTCAAATGAATGCAAGCAGGGTTATTTGGGTCTGTACCCTACAAACTGGGGCACCATCCCAGGGAAGGTCAGACTTGATTCGTCCTTGAATCCCTATGCCTGGCGCAGAGCAGGCATCAGAGTTAATTGAATGACTGAGTGAAGGGTTTTGGTCCTGCTCTTACTTAAGCCACCCTGAAGGCCAAAGGGGAGGGCTCGGTCAGAGCCCACACTTGCAGAAGCCCTGCTGGCATCTCCCCCTATACACCCCTCCTTGCCTCAGTTCCTGCTCTGGAAAGGAGGGAGGGAGGAGGTGGTCCCGGCCTTAGGGACCAGCATATATCCCAGGGACTTTGGTAGGCACTCAGCAAAGACCAGCCTGATGTGACTCCACGTGGAATCTGCTTCAACCTGTGGAAGTTTATTATACTGTGAGGGTTGGAAACTGCCATAGGAAAAAAAGTTTTGCATTTCAAGATGTGAAACCAGCCTAACTGTATTCCAAATACATAATATAACCACACTGGGAAGGGTGGGGGAGGCAGGGACTAACCCAAGTCACTGTGGAGCACAGTATTTTGACTGTACGCTATCAACTAAAGGCAAAAAGAACCATAAACAAATACTGAATTCTAGTTAGCAGGCTTCTGATTCGCAGCAGTGCGAGTTAGCAATACTTGAGCTAGTCTAGGAACGTGCAAATAATACATTGTGGTCAAGGGAAGTGAAGTTTTGCACCGTCACGAGAATGGATGTACAAACGTAGGCAGGAGGCTAGGATGGACTTTGTAGTGCTCACAGGAGATACAGTTGTGTGAACACACGGTGAATATGCAGGAATTACATGTGTATACATACATGTTATTTCCTAGCTTAGTACACTGAGTGCCCGAGAGCAGTGACACCCCAAGAGCGGTAAGTACACCTGGCACCCTGACCTTGGCTTCTACATACCATTCTTCGCCAAAAGGAACCAGGGCTACTTACAGAAATGGCTTTCATGGTCAGTCGTACAAGAGAAGGTACAGAATCTGGAACATCTTTGTGTGGCAGAGAGTAGGGAATTGTTCCAGTGACAAGGAAAGTCAGACACAGAAGCCATTAGCCAAATCTAGGAAAATCTGAGCATCAAGATGACAGTAATGATCACAAAGGATTGAATAAAACTAGAATACAAATTCATTGTGATATAACTAGGGCCGTGGGAAGGAAAAGCTCTTACCTTTGAAACGTTAACTAATAAATGTAGAAAGAACAGTGGAAAATAATTGGCAATCACCACAAGCATCATTCCATCCAAAAAACATCAACATACGTTAAAAACTAGTGAGTGAACGTTTGATGAGAATCTGGATATTTACTAAGTGTCTCTATATAAGATGCTGGTTAACTTAAGCACAAAGGGAAAGTAGTAACTTCAAAGTGGAGAAAGCTGACAGATGTCACCTTAACCAAGGGATCAAAGTCATCACCAGTTATGGGACAAACCATCCTCGTGTGCCTTCTGACAGGACACCCAGAGAAGGGCGCATCACTTCTGGGAACTCCTGTTAGAAACAGCTTGAATATAATCCCAAGGAAACACGAGGCAACAAACCTTGGTGAAGAGACATTCTGCAAAATAACTGTCCTGCAAGTTTCAAATCTGACAACTGAATGCAACGGACTCACCCTGGACTGAGTCGTGAGCTAGCAATTTTTTTTTTTTTATAAAGGACATTTAGTGTGACCATTACTAAAATTTTATTAAGGTCCGTAGAGAAGAGCATTGTTCCGATGTTAATTTCCCAACTTGGATAACTGGACCAGTTATATAACAGAACGTTCCCGCTTTAGGATTGATATATAAACACAGAGGTGGGGAGGGCAGCGACGAAGGGGAGAAAATAAACGCAGTAAAATGCTCAAATACTATTTTTGTCAATTTAAAAACATGCTACGAGGAACCTAGGTGAAGCGTGTATTTTATGTAATTCTTTTACATAAAATTTTTTATTCTTGAGTAGGTTTACAGAAAGTCACACAGATAGTACAAAGAGTTCCCACCTACCCCACGCTCAGTTTCCCAGTACATTTGGTGAACCATATATTAACTGAAGCCCATACTTTATTCAGATTTCCCAACTTTTCCCCTAATATCCTTTCTCTGTTCCAGGACATCACGGTACACTTAGTCATTACGTCTCCTTTGGCTTCTCTTGGCTGTGCCGGTTTCTCAGACTGTTACTTTTAATAACCTTGACAGTTTTAAAGACCACTGGTCAGGTATTTTGCAGCGGTCCCCAGCCTTTTTGGCACCAGGGACTCGTTTCATGGAAGACAATTTTTCCACAGACCTGGGGGCGAGGGATGAAGCAATGGATGGTTTCGGGATGATTCAAGTGCATTACAGTTATTGTGCAAACCTCTCCGCTAACGATAATCTGTATTTTCAGCCACTCCCCAGTGTTAGCACCGCTGCCTCCGCTCCACCTCAGATCATCAGGCATTAGATTCTCATAAGGAACACACAACCCAGTTCCCTCGCCTGTGCAGTTCGCAGCAGGGTTCACGCTCCTGCGAGAATCTAATGCCACAGCTGATCCGACAGGAGGCGGAGCTCAGGCGGTGATGCGAGCGATGGGGAGCGGCTGTAAATACAGACGGAGCTTCGCTCACTCGCCCACTGCTCACCTCCTGCTGTGAGGCCCGGTTCCTAACAGGCCATGGACCGGTACCAGTCCACAGCCTGGGGGGTTGGGAACTGCAGTTTTACAGGACGTCCTTCGGTTGAGATTTGTCTAATGTCTGTCTTCTCTTGGTTAGCTGAGGGTTATGTGTTTGGGGGAGGGAGAGCACAGAGGTAATTACCATTCTAGTTACATCACATCAAAGGTACACACTGAACGTGACTGACGCCGACCTCGATCACATGGATGACATCGTGTTTATCAGGTTTCTCCACTGAAAAATTACTTTCTCCCCCTCTCCATACTGTACTCTTTGGAGTCACTACTCACACCTAAGGAGTAGGGGGTTATGTGCCCCCTCCTTGAAGGCTGTCTACAGAAATTATTTATAATTTTCTACAGGACATTTATCTATTATTCCCAATTGTCGCTTGACTCATTTATTTCATACTTTGTGTAAAACCCAATAAAATGCTAGCTTTTAAGAGATGGGGTCTTGATATGTTGCCCAGGCTGGTCTTGAACTCTTGGCCTCAAATAATCCTGCCTCAGCCTCCTAAAGTGTTAGGATTACAGGCATGAGACCCACACCCAGGCTATGCTATTTTATTGCTCAAATTATTTTTGGCTTTGGCCACTGGGAGCTCTTTCCATTGGCTCCTGTGTCCCTCGGACGTAACACCATCCGTGGAAGGTTCTGGGTGTTTTTTTTTTTTTTAAGCAGGTCCTTACTTTCAGGCACTACAAGATGCTCTAGGTTCATCCTATATATTTCCTGCCCCAGCCCTAGAATAATTCTAGTATAATAGTATTTTTGAAAGTTTGAAAGTTTTCTCTAAGTCTGGAGTTATTTCTACTTTATTTTTATTTATATTTATTTATATATATTTATGTATTTATTTAGAGACAGAGTCTTGTTCTTGTTGCCCAGGCTAGAGTGCCATGGTGTCAGCCTAACTCACAGAAACCTCAAACTCCTGGGCTCAAAGGATCCCCTGCCTCGGCCTCCCTAGTAGCTGTAGTTGGGACGGCAGGCGCGCACCACCACGCCCGGCTAATTTTGTTTCTATTTTTATTGCCCAGCTAATTTTTTCTATTTTTAGTAGAGACGGGGTCTCGCTCTTGCTTAGGCTGATCTTGAACTCCTGAGCTCAAGCGATCCTCCGGCCTCGGCCTCCCAGAATGCTAGGATTACAGGTGTGACCACCGCGCTGGGCCTCGAAATTTAAAACGTGAATCACCACTCTTTTCTGGAAAGCTACCTGACATGTATAGAAACTCTGGGATGTAGGCCACGAACATAAAAGCACGAGCACAGTCATGATGGGTCATTACGGTTTGTTACAGCATGTTGGCTGCAGCAAAAGAATGAAACCAAGTAAATTCCTGTCAACAGGGGCAGCTGACAGCTGAGGGGCACCCACCCAGAGGAACCCGGGAAGCAACTGGAAAGTACGTGCGCCCCAAATGCAGAGCAGCTGAAAAGAGAACCTTAACCGGCCACCCAACACATCCTATTAACACGCATATGTTGGCAGGCGCGTGGGTGTGATGTGGCAGGACAGACCCCAGAGGCTGGCATTAACTAGGAGGAAACCGTTGTGCAGGGGAAAAGAAGAGTAGGGAACAACCTGTTTATGACAGTGTCCATCTGCACAGAGGGGTAACGTGGGTACCAAAATGAGCACTCGCGGCCCTGGAATCTGGAGTGATTTTGACTTACTTTCCCGTACTCTTCTGTTTTGTGTTTCTTTTCTTTTTTTTTTTTGAGACAGTCTTACTGTGTTGCCCGGGCTACAGTGCCGTGGCGTCAGCCTAGCTCACAGCAACCTCAAACTCCTGGGCTCAAGCGATCCTCCTGCCCCAGCCTCCCGAGTAGCTGGGACTACAGGCAT